TGTATCGATTTAGTACGAGATGTGGAGCACCAATGCCATGGGTCGTTGTTATCAAACTCTGACGTATAAAATCATGTTGAGATTGCTGGAGTTTCGGGTAAGAAATCAAGTTGCTAAATAAACAATCGCGCACATCCAAACTATCATTTAATTGTTTATCAATTTCAAAATAAATAACTGTAAAATGCCATATAACACATCCGATATTTTTTTAATCGCAATTTTCATCGCTGTAATCGGGATTCGCGAATTATACGCTCGGGGGGTCTTAACAATGGAAATGCTTTATGTACTCGCCCAGGAAAATATAACAATGTACGCTTTTCTCGCAATTCTATTATTTTTTGTTCGAAGAAATAAATCTCCAGCTCCGACTCCCACTCCAATTCCGGTTACGATAAATACCGATATAGATGAATTAAAACAAGATATGTTAGCTATAAAAAACGAAATTGTTAGAATGCAAAGTGATGCGGAATGGAGAAGTGAAGTCCGAAGTAGAGATTTGTAAAACAATTGCAAATTTAGCGTAACTCCTCATATTTTATTTAGAGCGAAACTCATTACTTGTATACATGTATTCTATAATTAGGACAAGCATCTATACAAAGCCACAGATCTGAATATATTATCGTAACTGAAACTCTCTGGGTCGAATTTACCGCCCTATTTGATGAGAGAAGAAAAAGAGATAAATGCTCTCCCACGAAAATATATAATGCCTTATCCATAGAAATAGGACTCAGTCCTGCGACACTTGCTACCTTTTATCGACACCAGAGAGCACCACTAACCACTTCGTTAGACAAAATCGAAATCTGGGTCAAGAGAGAAAACAAGAAAAAAGATAACTCGATTATCATTAGCAGTGGCAATAGAGGCTTGAGTAGCCATAATAGCGGAGCTAGTGTCTTACCGACACATAATTTTTCGAGTAATATAATATTAGACGATAGCAATAGCAATAGCAATAATAATGACAATAACTTAGCTAGTAACACAGAGTAGGGAAAGGAACTCTCATTTTATGGGTTAGGGCTTGAGATGTTTCTCCCTTTAAACGTCCGCTACTCCACGATTCTATGAATCATAATTTAACGTAAAAAATAACGTTGAAATATACAATTATTATCAATAAAGTTATCAATTATTTGTTATTACCTTGTAATAGGGAATCGGAGATTCGATGCTCTGCATCATCTTTGACCCTATTTTTATTTCGTAGTTTCGCAAGTGTTAATGATTGAGTGTGAATCCGATCGTGTTGTAATTTATGCAACCCATGTGATCGCGAGAAAAATGATTTATCGTTATATATGCATTGTCGAAGTCAAGTTAACTTATGCTTTTATACTAACTATATGGATTGAATTC